GGGCTCGCTGGCTAGGGACTGCGGGGAACCGCAGCGTTATTTGTTGCTTTCCCGCTTTAGGGACGATCCCCAGAGCCGCGTGGTTCTCTGGATGCATCAGGGGGAGGGAAGGTTTACTCCAACTTGCGGTCCCTCCCCGAGCTGCTTGATTCCTTGGGTCAGGACAAGAGGAGGCACCACTGACTGACCTTGGAGGGAGTTGATGATGGTGAAAAGATAGACGGCCACCAGCTTGAAGGTCCCGGAGGTGAACGAGAAGAAGACCACCCCCCAGGGGATGCCCAGGACGCAGCTCAGGCCCAGCAGCGTGACGACGTACTCCCAGCTCTGCTCCCGCTGCTTCAGCCGCAGGATCTCCCGCACCATGGCGGCCAGCATGAGGCCGTTGAAGAGGAGCACGAGGGCCAGCAGCCCCAGGTTCAGGAAGTTGTTGATCTCCTGCTTTGTGATCCAGCAGCTGAGAAGAAGAGAGCCGGCCGAGATTGGAGGCACGTGGCCCTGGAGGGGCTTCGGAAGGTCTTGAGGGGTCCGGAGGCAGCGTGCCTTGACCCCCCACATTGCATTACTCCCAGGAAGAGCCTGCAGTGTTGCTGAATGCTCCCTGGACCCACTTTTTAAAATATGCAAAACCAAATTCTGTTTCGCCAGATCAAACAGGTTTCACACTTGAAAACCACCGGGCCAGCCATGGGGAGTAAAAATCATATCCAAGAATCATACTGGAAAGCAAGAAAGCTGGTTCTCTTTCCTTTCAGCTCACAAATGGGGCAATCTATGAAGCATTTTTGGCCAGTAACCATTGTGGAATTATATGCCACACTGGAAATCTTTCTGGGAGAGAGTGTAGCTTCCTTAAGAATTTGGAATATTCTGAGGAAAACCTTCTTAGGCTGTGTTCAAAATGAGTGCACACATGCCAAGTGCAAACTGCAGACTTTTCTAGGAACGGCAGAGAAATCAGGAACAGACTCCTACGGTTCAGATTTCTCTCAATTTGACCTGCAGATTCTGCCACGTTCGGCTTTTCCTGAGGTGCGTAGATCCCACAGGCACGCGGACAGAGTTTTTACATCCGGTGGAATTAATACCAATGCACCTGAACACATGTACACTGACGCCTGAAAGGTTATGGAATGCAGATGCGACAGATCTGTGCAGCCTGGACTTTAACATCCCGCTTGGCACCTCCAAAGCAGAGCAGAAGCACCTTCAGGACAAGGAAGTGGACATTCTTACACTGCTGGCCCTGCAGTCCCCCTGAGAAGAACCAGAAGCTGCAGATTACTCATCTCCTGCCCCAGAGAGACGATCACATCGCTGCTCTCCGCCCTGCCTACTCACACGGAAACGGCAAACACCCCCCACATCCGGGGCAGATGCAGCAACAGCATCAACGGGAAGGAGGGAGAATCTTCGCTCCAGCCCCTCACAGGTCCCCAGAGGGCCGTTCCCCATTCCCCTGGCCTCCCACAAGCGTGCAGAACCTCTTTCGGCTCGGGGGCTGCATCCCATTTCAGAGACCTTCTCGGGGGCCACGTCCACTGGGGCTGCAGGCCAAACAATGGGAAGAAATACCAGCCGGTTTTGGCTTCTGCCTCTTACCGCTGGCGAATCAGCCCCAGGAGAGGTGCTTAATCTCATCCAAGCCAAACCTCATCTAAACCAGAAGCCGTTAAGTCCTGTGGCTTGGGAAAAGAGGTCATGCACATCCAAAGGACACCAGTCTGGCCCACGGACTCTGCACCCCCACTTGATGATGAGAAAAGCTGCCCCAGTCGACGTGGCCGCAGGCACTCTTGCTGCCCCCCAGACGACTCACATGGTGGCATCGGTGTATCTCCCAGGGCTGTCGTAGACCTTAAACGGGGCTGGTCCGTAGTGGGACGGATCGATCGCAAAGATCAGCGAAACGATGATTACGGGAAAGCCTGCCAGGAGAGAAAGCTCGCCATCACGTTTCTGCGCCGCCCCCGCTGTGGTCCCGGGAGGCCTTTCCTCACACCTCCCTGTCTCCCAGCTCCTCCCTCATTAAGGCCACAGGCGTCTTGCGGCCCCACAGACTGGCTAAATCCTCCCCGTCTGGGCTTTCCTCAGATGCACGGCCAGGGAATTTATGCACCCTGCTTAGGAAGGGGCGGCAAAGCGCGTTGTTGGAGCTCACAGAAATGCAAGAAGTTCGGAAGAGGGGAACCAGCGTAATGATCGCTAGCCAATTCCTGTGAAAATACAGGCACGGATGCGCTGGTTCACGGTTTCCCCCAATGAACAAACCGACTACCCCTTGGCCTCCGGTCCCCCACAGGATTTGACTATTTCCTCTGCCCTAAGTAGGGACAAGAACTTGTGTTCATGTATGTTTGTGTATAAACAACCACGGCGACAACGGACACAGGAAGGGTTTCCAAAATGGTAGCCTCCACTCCTTCAGCCTGTCCCCATGCAGTCGATTTGCAGAATTCTGCAACATATCTAGACAGGGCCTGAGTCTCGGAGGGAGCACCTGGCCAAAGGCCCCTTGGGAGTCCATGGCCGAAGCCAGATTTGGCCTGGGCGCTTGTCAGCATCGTTTCCATCCATGGTCACCACCCCAGATGCTCTATGAGCTTTATCCAGGGCGAGTCCCACAGGAATTCTGCCTTTGGATGCCACCACGTGTCTCCCCGCTCTCCGCCCAGCTTCCCGAGGTCCTGGGCTCCTGCCTTCCCGCCTGCCGGCCTGCCAGAGCCCTGCCCGCTCCTGCCCCCCCACCGCCACTCACCCCAGCCCACCAGGCACAGCTTCAGGACGAGGTGCTTGATGTAGGAAGTGAAGACCTCGATCACGCCCTGGTAGAGCCTGTAGCCCTCGATGCCCATCCAGGCCAGGCAGGCGAGCACGGCAAAGTGCAGGAGCACGGCGCCCGCCTTGCAGGACGCCTCCCCGCCCGTGGGCGCCAGGGGCACGGCGATGAGGAAGCTCATGTCCAGGAGGAAGATGGCGCAGAGAAGATGCATGTGCACCCAGACAATCTGGTCCCTCTGCTTCCTCCTGGAGGGGGTGCAGAAGGTTCGCTTGCAAGCGGACTGACTTCTGGCATGCAGGCTGCACCTGCACCCCACCCTCACCCCCTGCCCCTGCCCCAAGGAAGGTCAACACTACCTTGAGCACAAGAAGAAGAACACGGTGAGGAAAGAAGCCAGGGCTGAAACGAGGCAGCCCACGTATGTGATCGTGGTCAGGTATCCATGGTGGGCGGCATCGATGTCCGGGGAATACACCTGGCGGTGGCAGGAGACAGGCTGAGAGAGGCGGCAAAGGGAGGGAAGGGCGGGGGGCCGGACTTTCAGCCGCTCGGCCGGGAGCGCTCACCATCAGCACTGCGAAGAAGGTGAGATGGTCGCAGAGGCAGGTCGTGCGGGCCTCTCCTGGTACCATTTCGCAGCCCGACGTATTCCACGTGCCCAAATGCACACCTGGGGTGGACAGGAGAAGTTCTTGCTGCAGAGCGGAGGAAGGGGACGATGCGGTGGTTCTGCTTGCTCTACCAATACTGGCCGGAGTGAAGGCCATTTCTGGCCTGGTTCAAGGGCAGCCCAAACCCGGGCGTCCATCCCACGCGGCTGCAGGGAGTAGGACCACCAGGGATCTCACGCAAGGAGCAAGGGAAGGCCTCTGTCTTACGCTGCTGCCAGTCACTTCCAGACGTGGCATGATTCAGTGGCAGGCGAAAAAGAGAGAGGCCTTTCCCTGCACCCCTGATGCGGAGAGGTTGGATTTCGCTTCCTGGAATTCCCAGTGTAGGATCCGGCGGGGAAATCCTTACACCCTGGAAAAATATGCCTTTTCAGGAAAACAGTGGGATTGCCATTTGAAATTAAAGGATGGAAGGACAAAAAAATGAAAGCATGGCAGTGGCTTGGAGTACTTTGGATGTTGCAGATTTGGAAAGGACTGATTCAAAAACTCAGTCCCCAAGCTTGGCCACTACATGGAGGGCCGGTGGCACGCGAACAGCATTTTACAGTCAGTTTTGCATGTATGAATAAAGGGAGACTGCAGCGGAGGCGGAAGGGCGGGCAGGACTCTGTCCCGGAGCTGCCCTTCGCACCCAGCACTTACGCGTGGCGTCCGCATCCCAGAACACGCACTCCGCAGTCTCATTTCTCTGAAAGGACAAACATCCGAGGGTGAATTCAATGCACGGGGTGCTTCAAACAGCAGCAGGGAAGGGTCACCGTGCAGTGAGACGTCCCAGCCATTTCTGTCCCCTCCAGGGACACCCACCCGGTGGAACCGGGGTGGGGAACACACGGCCTGCGGGACACGTGCCCCCCCCCCCGCCCCACGGACTGTTTTGCAGCTCCCGGCGTCACTGCTGCTGTGCGATGAAGCAGCAAAACAACAGCGAAGCCGCGCCCGCCAGGTTTCTCTCGTGGGAACAAAAGTGGCGAGGTGGGGACTCCCTGAAATTCCTGCATGGTCGCCCAAGTGGCGATGCCCAGAACAGTCGACGGGACAAGATGTCAGGCCTACCGGCAGAGGGGCATGTTGGAAGGCGACTGCCACCCGCTGGTCCTTGGGCAGGTTGTGCACTGAGCGGTTCTGCACGGAGATGCCGATCACTTTGCCACCAAGGACCCGGCTCGAGTTCCGGCCCTGCACAGAAGGGAGGCGGGACCGTTTCAAGCTAGGAAAACCCCTCCATTTTTGACAGCCGATTTGATGGAGGGAACATCCCCCGGCATTTAGCCACCTCTGCGTTGCAATCACTGCACATCGATCCCCCAACGAAGCAAGTTTCTCTTCTGCATGTTGGGTAGGGAGGGTTCCTGTAAGCTCTGGCTTGGCCGACGCGTTCCTTCAAGCGAATCCGTCTTGCGATTCCTTTGGCCAGCAGGGAAGTGTTAACATGCGTGTTTCTGTTTGCGGCAAACAGTCATGGGGGGTGCAGATGTTGTGAAATCCGTCTCCTCTCTGCTTCTTGAGTTGTCAGGACCGTTCGTTCTGTCCTCTGCTGTCCAACAGCATCAACAGTCCCAGAAACGAGTTTGTGCACATTTGCGCTAATTCGTCTTTCTGTGAGCCTGCATTCCTGGAAGTGTCCTGCAGGTTGCCAGGCAGCTTCTAATCTGCCATTGACTGGATTTGCACAGAACAGTCGCTCCGGAAAAATTTGCAGATCTACCCAAAGTACGCAAGCCCCCCACAAATGCAGGTGTTCACTCTTTAGCCTAAGCAGAGCATATGCGTCTTTGCTATTGGCTTTTTCACTGCATTATTTTCCAGATAGCACAATCTGGGTGAAATGTGTTAATTTCTGTAATAGTGACATTTGAAAAGCTCTACAGGTCAGCATGATTCCCGACTTGGGAAACGTTAGTCTGTCGAGAAATCCATCGGCCGGATTGCTGGAGAGCAGTGCCTGCCCGAGGCCACAGTGGCCTTCACAGACGCCGCAACGATGGCCCACCGAGTGCCTGTGCAAGGGAAGCGCAGGGACGCGGCTGCTCCGCTCCTCTTACAGGGAGCATCCAACGGGACACGCGGGGCACCCCAAGCCTCGCAATTCCAGTTCCAGTTCCAGTTCCAGTTCCAGTTTCGGAGAGACTGGCCTTTTGTCTGAATAACGAGCTACGGCACAATGCGCTCTCTCGCTCTCGTTTTCGCTCTCGCTCTCACGCACACACTTTGGGTTCCTGGCCTGGCATTGTCAGCAAGTCTGAAGGGTCCCTGGGGGGCAGCCCAGGGCTTCTCCCCAGCAAGTCTCCCCCTTCCACCGTGCCAGCAGCTCGGCCTCCCACTGCGGTCCCACCGCCTCTTCCCAGGACCCCCTCCCGCTTCTTTGCAGCCCTCCTCTCCTGCTGGCCCGCGACTGCCAGCTCCCCCTCAGAGAAGGGCACAGACGGGAAGCGAGAGCGCGGCTGCTCAACCGCATCGCAGGCCGGCCCTGTTCCCGTTTCCTGTCAGCCTTGCCGGGGCAGCAGCTTCTCACCAGGACCGCTGAGCTCGTCTGTTGCGGAGATATCAGGAGTCACCACCCGCTGACACAGTGGCCAGCCTTAGCGTGTGTTTCCCCCTTTTAACCGCCAGTGTCAACTTAGCCAAAAGGTTGCCAGCTGCAGCGGTCCAGGCGACTCTCCCGGGCCAGGGGCGGCAGGACCAAGCAAGGGCGCCACAATCGCAGCCACTGGCGGTGCTTGTCTCTCCCACCCTTCCCCATCTCGACCAGGCCATCCCACAGGATGTCCTCGTTTCCCTTGTCTCCGCCTGTGCCTGCTGCCATAGTCCAGGCGGAAGCCGTCAGTGTGCCGGGACATGCTAAAGACCAGCCACACACCTGGCCTCTGGCCAATTTGCTGCTACAGCTGCTATCCCAAAATTTGGAAGAGCCAAAGCAGAATGCATCACTCTCTTGCCAGGACCTTCCCCCAGGTGGACTGGATCTAGCCAGGACCATGCCCACGCAGGCTCAATGAAACAGGGGTGGGCAGCAGTCAGATCCCCAGATGTGTCGTCTGACAACTCCTAGCGACTTGTGACCAGTGGCCCTTCCAGCAACGGCTTTTCACCGCTAAGTCCAAGACACCTGCAGTTCTCGCTTCTGCCCACCCCTCGCCTGAAGCCCGTTAGGAGAACATCAAGCCAGCAGGTCCTGGGCATCCAAAGGAAAAACACACCCTGCAATCTGAGCCTCTTTCAACTGGACATTCATGTCAAGACCTGAGCTTCCTGAAATGCATCCGAGCTTCCTGAAGCTGTGGAATTAATCCCTGGCTCGGGAGATGTTTCAGTTGGTGCCTCAAAGCAGAGAAGGAATCAAAGCAGGTGGTCCCATGCCCGGTTTTCTGTCCTTGGTCTTCTGCTCCAGCAGTGCTTTAGTGGCAGGACAGAATTTCCCAGGCACATCCAACTGGACACATGGAAAGACCAGGGCCAGAGGATGGATTCACCAGTGTTCCAAGGCCAGAAGAAAAGAAGCCCTCTGACCCCCTTCTCCCATGGGGCCCTTTGGATCTCCTTCAGCCATTTGGCACGTCCTTGCCCACCTGTTCTGGGGCAAAGCAAGACGCCTATTGGCCTGCAACTCCCTGGCACTCAAGGGCATTTAATGGTCCAGGAGGGGGCATTCATGCCGGCTGCCTTCGCTTCCAAAGGTGGCACGGGTCCCTTTGTCCTCCAGACAGGAAGCAGCCCTCCTGTCACCATGAAGGAAAACGCCCGGAGCCCCTGGCCCACATGCTCACCTGGAAGAGGGCCTGGCTGGTCACCTCCATCAGCACCGCCCTCGCCACGCCAGCCCTGCGGCCGTCGCGGGACGCTGTGGGCTCCGTGAAGACGCGGCTTGGCAGGGTCACTTCATAGCCGCGCACCTCTCGGTCCTCCTGTGGAGAGGGAACGGGGGACGTGGCGTGGGCAGGGTCTTTGCCCCGGCTTGCCAGAGGGGCGCGTCCCGCGTTCCGGGACAGATACCAACTGCGACCGCGGAGCTCTCGTCCCTCAAGGGCAGGCTGGGCATCGCGCTCCTTCTTTCTCTTTAAGCTGACATGGGGCCGTGCCTCGGGGTTTCCCGTGGCGTGAGTGAGGCGGAGCTGCGTGTGCTGATCACACTCCTTGGACGGCTCAGCCCTGAAGTGGGGCCTGGGCGATCGCACAGGGCAGCTGCTGAGGAGCTGCCACGTCTGGCTGGTTCGCCTCTCACAGCGTGCCTCTGACAGCGCCGCTCACCTGCCCCCCCCCCCGTGCATCCGTTTCTGCAATCTGAGGTGGGCAAAGCGCCCGGAATAAATAACTCTGTCTTTGACGTGCCCCCAGACTCTGTGTCGCTTTTCCGAAGGACGGCGTGATGCTTTATGGATCAGGCCTTCTCTGGCTAGCTCAGCTCCTTGCGGATTCCGCCGCACTCACCTGCAGCTGAGACCTGACGAGCAGCTCGTGAGGACCGTGGGAGGGGACCTTCCAGATGCTGGCGCGCAGCAGGGCTCCTTCCCCGAAACTCTTGTTCTGCCCCTGGAACTCCGCGGCTCCCAATGCAGACTCCAAGTGCTTCAGATACCTGTTGAGAAGGGGGAAACTGAGTCGGGCTGCCTGGATGCCGTCCAGGGGCAGGCCGAAACTACAGTATTAGCCCAACAGTGGGCCTGCTAATGAAGCAGAACATGGTGACCGGCACGGAGTCGCCTTCAGCTCTACGACTCTGTGTAAAATGCCGGTTGCGTTTCTTGGCTTAGCCTCACCAGTTTCCCCTTGGTTAAAAGGGGGCTTTGCTGCAGGAATCCCTTTTGGGGCGGGCCATTCCCACTTCCCAAAGCAGCCAGTTTGTCCCTGGGCTCACCCTGCCTGCTTTCAAAGCCATTTTGTGACAGTGCCCAGGACACTGTTTCCAAACCCCCACACGTTCGTGAGACAGAGGAGCCCCAGAGGGCCAAGCGGCCTTGCGAGCGCCTTCTCTGCTCCAGCCCGTGCCTTGCGCCAAGCGCCCTGCTCTGCAGCAAATGGGCAGCAGCTTGGCTCACAGGCCCTAACCCTTTCCAAGAGCGCAAATGGAAGGCACTCACACAAACGGGCTCTCGCGGTGGGTGCTTCTCCCTCCGATCTCTGACCTCGGATTTTCCAAGAACTTCAGCTTTGCTTCTGTGCTTCTGAACACTGTTTCCACCACACTTGCGTCATTAGATTTCATTCCTCGGTCCCCTTCTCCAGGATCTATCGTGCAAGTAAGCAAGCAAGAAAATGGCGTGGTGATTTCCAGAGCAGCACGCCCTTCCTCACAGGGGTTTCCCTGTATGGCTTCTCCTTCCGGACTGCTCTGTCAGGGTCCGGGGTGTGGGTGGCAGGAACCCTCTCTGGGACCCCTGGACCAGGGCAACGGGCCCGTGGCAGGCAGCATTTCAGCACTGAGCCCATCAGAGGCAGAATCATAGCCAAGGGTGGCCACGGTCAGAGGCCAGGAAGACATCTTGGAGGCAGACCAGGAGATGGCCTGGCTGAGTCAATGGGCCAGAGCTGGGCAGCCCAGACAGAGCAGAGAGTGTGGCTGCAACCAGATTGGGACAAGGAGCACAGAGCTCAGGCAGCTTCCGGGTTGGGGTTAAGGAGATCCCTTCCCCCAGGTCTCCCTGTTGTCACACATCAGGCTGAGAGCTCAGCAGGGACCTTCCGGTGGGCCCAGTCCAGCAATTACGATGGTGGCCGTTCTGGTTCTGGCCACCTGGTAGCACCCCAGATCCTGACTGTCTTCCCTTCTGGGGTTGAGATGGATCCTCACTTCCTCTCTGTGCAGGAAGAGGGCCAAACGCACCCCCATTTCGCTGCAGCTTTCCAAATTATTCTGATTGTAAAGATCATTTCCACCCACAGCTGCTTTTTCTTGATCCTCCTTTGTATCATTTGACTTCTTCTAATATGCTGCCTCGGTCGGCTTCAGAAAGGCAGGACAGAAATGCCACAAATGCAGCTGAGGAACCGCTAGCCAGGCAGTCCTACGCTCTGGCTCTGGTTGCTCCAGCAAGCCACCTGCAGCCGCATCCTAGGACAGCTCTCTCCCTTTGATCCCACAGCAGCTCTTCAGCGATGGGGCTAGACAGAAAGGCCCTTGAGGTCACCCCCACACCTCGCTCTTCCAAGCTGGCCCACCGAACTGCTCAGAAAGAGCCATCAGCTGATGCTCTGCGGAGGGGCCCTTATTCACGCCTCTGCTGAAGGCCTGAGACACCGAAAAGCCAGCCAGCACCCTTCCAGTTGGGTCCTTCGGCTATGCCAATGGGCTCCATGAGGAAATGCTGCCACTTTACTTTGGGTGCAAGTACAAGTGATGGCGCTCGCTTCGCTGAGCGTGAAAAGCCAGGCCTGCCAAAGCCAGAGGCGACGACTGCCTGGATGGATCCCAGCGCATCACTCTTCTGCTGCGAAGGGGCACTGGCGTTCACCTCCGATGCGCCGTCCACGGTGCCGATGCCCTTCGCCCGGCTCGTGGAATGGGCACGACCTTTGTGGGGGTTCTGAAGAGTTCTTTCCAGGCTGCAAATGGCTGTGAAGAGCCGTGGAGGGAGACAAGCTGATCCCTGGCAGGTGTCCCGTAATCCCTGATGGGAGCGGTAGTCCTACATTCTGGAGGGCACCCAGTCGGGGAAGGCTGCACTAGCACTTACAATGGGAACGATATTTTTGCAGAGTGGGCAACTGAAGCCTCTGAATGGAGGCCGGAAAACGCTTTAAGTTACCTTGGAGCAGGAAAAGGAGAAGCAGCAGGAAGAACCGCATGCTCAGCACTTCACTTGCGGCTGGCCTCTTCTGCAGAAGGTTTCCCTCACAAGCAGGATTTCATGCCGGTCTGGGGCACACAGAGACGTCCCTCCATAACTCCACGTTGGCTCAAACAGCGGCGCAAGCCAGTCTGGAAGGATGCTAAAATGCCCAATGGAAGAAATGGGCGTTGAGATTTACTGGTCCTAGGAATACTTGAAATGGTATTCCTGGGAGTTTTATGGCCCAGTCCAGCTGAAATGCGACACTTTGCTTATTCATTGAACAGTTTGTCTTGTATCTGGTTGTCTTAAGGGTTGTACGTCTGCCCAGAGAATGTGCTATTGGGTGGCTTAAGCATGTAAGAAATGAACAGAGTGTTAATCCCAGTGATTGCACCAGAAGGAATTAAGCAGGAGTTTAACACTGCCATTGAAAAAGCAACCATTTATTTTAATGTATAAATATGAAGGGTATATATGGATGGCTTACACATATTCGATGGGTTTATAATAAGTTTCTATATAGCCCTTTGTTCATGGCTCCCAGGATCGTTCATAATTTTAAACTGAAGCGTGTATCTCCGTCACTGAATTTTGACTCTGAATAAAAGCTATAAGGGCTTTTGGCAAGTAAGACCCTGTTCCGTGTCTGTGCCCCTTCGGATGGCCCTGATAATGTAAAATGGGCACTTTATGGGGAAAAGGCTTGCCTAGAAGAAAGTTCTGTGAATGTGTGCCACCGGCTAGCGAATGGCTTGCCAAGTCCAGAGGTTAGTAAGCAGAGTCAAGGGAGCGGTTAGGGAAAGGAGGACCCCATGCAGAGCATGACGCTCAGCCTTGCCCGGACAAAGAGAACAGAGGGGAGCACGAGGGAGCCCGAAGGAGGCACAAGCAGGCAACGAGCAGCACTCTGAGGACTGCACCTCCGCCCACACCAAGGCCGACGAAAGCACAATTCGTTACATACTTTGGCTATAGGAGGACTGCAGGAGGGTAAGAAGAACACGGCGGACCAATTATTTCTCTCTTCACTGCAGAAGATACAGGACAGATGTTTGGGCTTGAAGTGTTCAGGAAGCATGTCTGAGGAACTCAGGCAAATGATGATGTTTGGAACATAACATCATCATCATCCACTTCTTAGAGTTCTTAAAGAACTCACATGTGAAGTTGCTTAACTTCTAGCAAAAACTATTTCCTTAAGATCAGCCTTTATTCCACAGACTGAAAGATGGCCGATGTAACCCCTTTCCTTTTTTAATGGCGAGGGACTACGGGTTGAGTAGCTTCACGCATATTCTGGAAAAATATGAGAGCCAGTGTGGCGTCGTGGTCAAGAGCTGGGACTGGGACTCAGAGGACCTGGGTTCGAGTCCCCACTCAGCCGTGGAGCCACCTGGGTGCCTTTGGGCCAGTCACAGACTCTCGGCCCAACCTACCTCACAGGGTTGTTGTTGTGGGGATAAGATGGAGGAGGAGAATGAGGTAAGCTGCCTTGAGCCCCTTGAAGGAAAAAGGCAGGATATAAATTGAAAAATAAATAAAAAATAAAAATAAATAAAATAGAATGAAAGCAGTAAAGTCCCACTGAAAAAATGAAAAACCAGCATGGCTTCGGGAAAGCTCTTTGTGTCAATGAGCATTTGGGCAGCAGTGATCTGGGAAACACAGTTGGCTTGGACTTCCAAAATTCTTTTGACAGAGTCCTGCGCCAAAGACATCAGCTGAGGTCCTAGTCTGTGCAGGGAGCGAGGGTCTTATTCCCCCACAGCCTTTGCAGGCACTTCCGAGGAAGAGGAGGAACCCAATGATTCATGGAAATGTGTGCTTAGTCACACTTTTCCACTAATCCGCAGTTGCCCTGGCTGAATTCACACACATGCAAACATTAGAAGCAACAGCATAGAATGAAAGGAAGCACTTTTTACTCCGAAGAGTCAGCCACATGTACGTTGCAGCTAGAAAAGGAGTAGAATCAGACTTACTGTGGTTCTTCTAGCACGGTTCTGTCTGTACGTCTACCAAAACTAATTGGCTCCTTTGGAATGAGGAGAGGCAGCAGGAAGCCAGTTGTGAAGAGAAGCTCCTTTTTATACGTTGAGACCTACGCCAGACCGTCTCCAAATACCATATATGGTGATTAATTTATTTTGAATTTCCGGACTGGTTCTAAGAAGATGTGTCTCCTTTAATCTCCACTCTCTAACTCGAAATGCTTCTCTGCAGACTGCTGCTCCAGAAAGAGGGAAGAGCCGAAGATGACTCATTTGGAGTTTCTGGAGGACTGGGCCTGACCAGGGCAGTTCCTCCTGCCAAGGGAGTGGGTTGAGCCTGCACAGTCGCACTTGCCAGCGCCACTCAGTGCTGCAAAGTGGCTGCTGGGGGACAAGACTGAAAGCAGGGGCAGCAGCTGCAGGAAGGTGTGAAGTTGCATCACCCCTACCAGGAGAGGGAGATGCAGGCCGCAGGTGTGAGGGCAGGTTTGGAGCCCTCCCTGGCTCAGAAGAACCCATCATTCCTGTCCTCAGTGTAGATCCGCTGGCTCCTTGGAGCTGAATGGGCAGGCCTAGAGCGGCCAGACTACAGCTTCCATCGTCCTGGGCCAGCACAACCACTATGAGAATAGAATTCCAAGGATAGCCAGTGGGCTGCCCAAGCCCCGTTCCTGCCACAGGGTCTCCTCGGGGCTGGCACCCATTTGGCAGAATGTGTGCCAAGGCCTGCCACTTCAGCGTTTGGGCTGGTGATTCTTTAACGCCATTGGTTAGCTTCAGCATCCTTAGCCATCACGCCGCATGGTTGCTTTTTAAAACTTTCTGTTGTAGCCATCTATGATTTAGATTTTTAAAACTGTTCTGATACCATCGATTGTCTTTTACTAGTTGGCTAGGGTGACATGTCTCTGAGATCAGCCTCTGAACAGGGGAATGGCCAATGTGATGCCAGTTTGGTAAAAAGAGACCTAGGAAATTGCGCGCCAGTTTACATCTTCCTTGGCAAATTCCTGGGATCACAGATGAGGAAGCGATGTGGAGAACATCTAGTCCACTCCTCCACCCAGCCCAAGCGCTGCACTGCAGGGCAATTCTGCAGCCCTCCTTGGCTTTCCGCCCATGCTCTGCCTAGGTAATTCCAGCAAAGAGGCAGGATCAAAGCCTGAATCACCCAAGAGCCAGGAGCTGGGAGGTTGACTCAGCTCTGATCCTGACCCGAGGAGAACCCGCCCTTAAGCCAGGGACATCTTGGGGAGCAATGTACCCCAAAAAGAGGCACCTGCCCACCAGGTTCCCTTGAAGGTTTGGGATCTGTTGCTGGGGCTTAACATGCACAGCGAGAGGAGGGGTTTTCTCTTCCTGTCCTCATCCCATGAAGCTGATGGGTGAGAATCCGGATGGAGAGAAAGAAGGATCTCAGGGAGTCCCGAGGGAAACAGTGGGATTCACTTCCTCCAGATGTCATGGAGGCCAACAACTGCAGGAAGAGCTGCACAAAATGCCCCTCCCCAGGACGCTTCTTCCTGGTCAAGGGGCACCAACTCAGCATTTTCCCCATGTGCCCTGCTCCAGTGAGGCCCAGGAGAGAGCGGTGGGGGGTGGCTTTATATGGCAGGGAAGGGATGGGATGCAGGGAGATACGATGCAGCGCAGATGGGGATTCCGCAGAGGCAGTCTGGGTGAAACTTAGGGGTTTTGACAGGGAAAGAGACCTGGCAGTGGGGGGTGTTATCGCCCTCCAGGTCAACTTGAGACCCTGAATGATGTCCTGACAGGCCAGATTCTAAGGATATCTCGGGGGAGGGACACAGTAATTATGGGGGATTTCAAGCTTCCGGATATTACTTGGGAGACTCACTCGGCGGTGACAGCCAGGTCACGTCGCTTCCTAGAAGCCATAGAGGGAGGGTTTTTCACACAGAGGGTCCGAGAGGCAACGAGGGGGGAAACATCCTTGACTTGGTCTTGACCAATGGGGGGGACCTGATAGATGAAGTACAGATTAGGGGAGCTCTGGATGCGAGCGATCACTCCATCCTTTGCTTTGAGATCAGGGGACTGGGGATGTGCAGCAGGTCGAGCACTAGAAGCTGGGACTTCAAGAGGGCCAACTTTGGCCAACGGAAGGGCAGACTGGGGAAAGTCTCCTGGGATGGGTTGCTGGAAGGCAAGGGAGTTAAGAGGTGGATGGCACTCAAAAGGGAGGTTTTGGAGGCGCAAGCCTTGACGATACCTCTAGTCAGTAAGGTGGGGAGGCGGAGGAGAGTGCCGCCATGGATGCGAAAGGAGATGGTTAGAGGGGTTAGACGAAAGAGGAACATCCATGGGAAATGGGTACTGGGGCAAACAGACAAAAGGGTAAACCGGGGGGAGGAGGCCCGTTGCAGAAGGATTCTTCGCAAGGCTAAGGCTGATTACAAGCTGAGACTTGCCAAGAATATCAAGAGCAACAAAAAGGGCTTCTTTCAGCACG